CGATGAGTTCGAAAAGTCAATAGGTTACAAGTTCAAGGACAGGTTAGTGCTGCTGAGTTTGCCATATCTGTGCCATCTTTTTCTGTATAATCATTTTCTTATCACCATAGATTTTTATTCTCATCAATGATTGCAATGCTTGACCACAAGGTCCTACCTGCTGCAAGCATTCACACACGCTTCCTACCATTACAATGAGGTAACCGATTGCTACCAAAGATTAGAATTTCTCGGCGACGCCATCTTGGATTACGTCATCACTAAACATCTATTTAAAGATTCCATAGAACATTCTCCCGGTTCGTTCTTTGTTTGTTTATTTTTCTTTGTTTAATACAATTATGTTTATTTGTAGATAGATGCACTTGTATGCTTTCGTCTATCCATCTTGCTTTCAGGCATACTAACGGATCTAAGATCAGCCCTAGTGAACAACAACATCTTCGCCCTGTTGGCTGTCAAGTGGAATTTCCACAAATTCTTAAAATACATCGGGCCACAACTATTTTACGTCATCAGCAGGTTCGTGTCATGGTTCAATGAACAGGGAGAAGATGCCATCTTGGATGAGGTTTGTTCGTGACGTCATCGTTGAGTATGTATCTGATTGGACGATTGGGGGTTCACTGATTGATGCATTGCTCCATTATCTGTAATGACCACTTTACTGACTTTCACAACATCATCATCATCATTTCATCAACCAGCCATTCAATCACTCAACCATTCTTTCAACCAACCCACCAACCATCTTTTTTAGTTGGAGGGCGAGTCGCACAACCCACTAGACGCAGACAACGACGACGAAGCGCAACCGCCGACCAACAATCGCAACAACAACAACCAACCAGCCTGCGAACTCGAAGATATCGAAATACCGAAAGTGCTCGGCGATATATTCGAATCTGTGGCCGGTGCCATCTACCTAGACGCCAATCTCTCGCTGGATGTCGTCTGGAAGGTATACAAGAGGCTCATGGACAAGTACATCACTGCTTTCCTCGAAAAAATCCCAAAATCCCCAGTTAGGGAATTATTGGAGGCTGAACCGGAAACGGCTAAATTTGAGTTAGATGCATATTTTAAATTCATTCATCACTACTCACTTGGCGATGAAAAATTATCTCAACAAAAATAAAACTGATTCATTAATTAATGATAATAATAAAAAATTCATTTAAAATTCTTTCCCTAATCAGAAAACCGGAGCGAACAATAGACGGACGCGTGCGAGTGTGCGTCAACGTCGTTGGCAAGGGTAGCTTTAGAGGCATAGGAAGGAACTACAGAATCGCCAAAACGGCCGCTGCCAAAAGAGCCCTGAAATACATCAAGATGATCAGTGGCAGCAGTTGCTGATTGCGATTAGTCGTCTGATCGTGTAATTAACCAATGTATTGATTGATTGGTTGGTTTTGTAATTGATTGGCTTGATTGAGTTTACTGACTGTACGATTTATTAGTTCATTTGTGAATTGTCTAGTTGATTGATTGGTCTTTGATTGATTGGTTCTCAAGTCGCATGACTAATTGATTGGTTTATTGATTGATTGAATGATTGGTTGATTGATGGATTGACTGAATGGTTGATTGATTGGATGATTGGTTACATAAAAGACTAATTCAACTGTCTATTATAAACCATAACGAGATAATAGTTAGGTTAAAGTACGCACAAGAACCGTATCATAAGGAGCGTAAATAAATAACAAAAACGAAAAAATCATTTCCATTATTACTGTTGCAATTTAACGAGAATGATATTTATAATAATTATTATTATTTATAATAATTATTATTATAACAACTATTATTTATAATAATAATTATTATTTATTATAACAATTATTATTTATAATTATTATTGTTTATTATAACAATAATAATTATTATTTACGCTATCGTCTTAATGAAAAATTAATAAAATTTATTTATTTTGTCTGAAGACGGTTCTTTCTTTTCCTATTCTTCTTTCGTTCTTTCTTATTTACATTATTATTTATATTATTATTATTTATAATAATATTATTATTGTTGTTGTCGTTATTATTGTTATTGCCATCATCATCAGGATTTTTAGGGTGGTTTAAAATAAACATAGATTGGTCTCTTTCACCGTTTCGCTTCTTTTTCTCCCTATTATTATTGCTGTTATTATAATTATTATCGTCATTATTATCGTTGTTATTATTATTGCTATTGTTATATTCATCGATATAACCGTTATTATTGTTATTATTATCATTGTCATTGTTGTCGTTGTAGTTTTTCAATAAGAACTTATTGGCGATATTTTTCGACTTCCTCAAATTCACTCTCACAGTTTTTCTCATATTTCTCATATCACAATCGCCTATCATCATCGCTACTCCCCCATCTTTATTATTATTATTCTTCTTTTTATTTTTCTTCTTTTTTGATAGCATTTTGAGGTCTTGTCTGAGGGCTTTCAGTTTATTGAGGCATGGTTTTAGACCTTTGTACACGATTCCTTGCTTGAGTTTTACTGATTTTAAATCTTTCAGAATTCTCTGCAGTTGGCTTATCGTTGGGCAGTCACTTACTGACAGCGTTAAATATCTGTACTCGTCTGCCGTTAATGGCGCGAAACTTTTCCCGACCCTGTCTCCGTCAGATTTTTGTTTTTTGGGTTGGTTTGTTTCGCCACGGCTATGGCCGTCTAACAAAAGTAAGTTGTCTATTTTACGCTTCAGCTTTTTGGTGCTGTTTAGTGGCGTCAGTGTTTGTGGTGGGTTTTTGTCGAAATTTAAGTTACTACTGGTAGTAATGTTAGTATTTGTGGTAGTATTCGTATCTAGGATAGCAGTTTTAAGATTAGCATTAACATTAGTGGTCGTAGCAGTAGTAATATAAGAGGGTCTAGCAGTAGTTATTGTAGTAGAAGGAGTAGAATTGTTGCTGTCATCATTATTGAGTTTGTTCGTTGTTGGCGCTGTTGTTGATGTGGTTTGTGTTGTTGTGGTGGTTAGTTTATGGATGGATTTCAATTGCTTGTTGAGGAAGGATTTTAACGTTGTTGTTGCTGCTGTCTTGTTGAGTTCATCCTGCAAGGTTTTCAAGTTCTGTAAGAGAAATGCGTTATTACCAATATATAATTAGTTAATTGATTGATTCATTGATGGTTATCATTTATATAATTATCCCCTTTAATTTCGTTAATAATTTATTGTGATCGGTGCCGAATTAAGATTATTAGGACTGAATTAATATCATTATCATTGCTGAAACGTCATCATCACCATCACAATCATCATCATCTCCATCACAATCACCATCATCATCTTCTCTCACATCAGTGACGTAATCATTAGTGATAATAAGTTCACACATCAAATCATCCAACGAGTAGAGGCATTTGCATAGAACTTTTATCAAAGAATCCACCAAAGAGCTGTTAACAAAAATAATATTAATATAATTATAGCTGCTATAAAGGATAATTGTTTGTAATTTCAACACCCACACAAAAACACACATTTTTTCATTTTTATATATATACTACCTTATTTCATTCAATATAAATGTTACTAGTGATAATACTATTTTAGAAGCAGTGAAAATTGTAGAAATAGCAACAGTAATATAGCAGCAGCAGTAGTAGTAGTTGTAGTAGTATTAGCTGTAGTAGTAGCTGCAGTAGTAGTAGTGGTAGTAGTAGCAGCAAGAGCAGCATTAGTAGTTATAGAAAAAAATTAGTAAAAACTTTAAAAGAAACCTGAATTTAGAAACGGCCGCAAAGCAAAATGTCATGTAGTGTACGAACAAGCCATTGGATATCTGCTGTGCTATGTAGCTGTATTTAAAGGATGAAGTGAGTGGAAAATTTAATATTATTTTTATTAATAATAATAATTATTATGCATTTGTGAATGTGTATATGTATGCATGTATGCACGTGTGTGCGTGTGTACAACTTCTAATATTGTAAACAACCAACCAGCCAGGCATTCATCTGGCTATTTAATCAATCAGTCAATCCAATATTCAACCAACCAACCTACAAGCCAAGATACATATATCAATGATACTACCCATCTGATTGATAGTATTCAAGATACACAGCATATCATACATAACTATTGAAGAGGATGGTAGATAGATATCTTTTGTGTTGATACTGTATCGACTGAAATGTTTTATATTTATTTTACTATTTTAGTCATTTTCATAGGTCTTCAATTGTAATCATTATATCAATAAATATATGAATATATCTCACTGATAAAGTTTGTATTATCACTCAATCATAATTATCATGAATCATTATTATTATAACTATTATCATCATCACATTATAATTAGCAGCTAAGCTAAGATCTAAGCTAAGCTGCTACATCACCATTATTTTCATTATCGCCATCATCATCACAACCATCATCATAATCATCGTCATCGACCTGGGTATCATCTCTTTCAAATCATTCAGCTGATCGGCCAACAAAGTTAAGCCACATTTAGACCACATGGTGACAGCCTAGAATTATTAATTTTTAAATTCAAACATTGATAATTTATATTTAAAAGGTAAATATTATAGATGTATGTTGTTATATTCTATCATAATATTACAAATTAGGCTAAAATTATGTTAGTTTTATGTAAATTATCACATAAATAAATTTTACAGAAATTTCATCATAGTGTATTGTATGTATATTTTTATGATAAATTATGTCATAGTCATTTGAATTTTGAGTGAATTATGCTAGTTTTATGTAAATTTCATGTAAATTAAGTCCTTAATATGTAAATTAAGACATAATTTTTATATTTTGTATTTATTTTTATAAAAGTATTTTAACCTGTTTGATGAACCTCAAACACTTCTCTCTTCTCCATTGATTTTTGAATTTAAAATGAATTTTTTTTAAAATGGCCGACTCCGAGTTGACCTCCAAATCATTCTTCAATATCTCTACGGTGTCGTGAATGGCCGATCGGATGTCTCGAAGTTTGGCTGCGTTGATTAGTAATTAGTGAAATTTAGAATTAGTGAAAAATAGTAAATTAAATTGGCTCTGAGATTTTTTTAATCAAATTTTTCAATTAATAAAAACATTTTTTCCAAATTAGTGGAAACAAACTGGCATTAATGACGTCATAATCGTACAAGTTGGATGAAATGGCAGGTTTGATGAAAAAATTCATCGTGTACTTTCGAATAAAAACAACTTTTAAAAATTTTTTATCGCTTGGCATAGACGTTATACAAACATTTTATTTATACTCTCAAGTACATTGTTCTATGCTAATATTCCATATCAGAAATAAATTTATAGAAATATCATACATATATGTACGTTTATATGTTTGTGTATACATATAGAATTAGTTTTTTTAAATAATAAATGTATAAATATACAACAAATCAAAGCCGGATTTAAAGAAGAGTAGGCAGGGCTTTTGCCCCGGGCCAACCACAGAGGGTAACATAAATTTGACATGGAAAATTTGACCTCCAGGTACAACAAAATAAAAATAGGTTTTCCCTCATTAAATATTTTTACAGACGCATCCATTGATCATAAGAACCATGATAAGAACCTCCGAGAATATTTAAAGCGCTACAGACCTCAACTAAATTTAACTCGTTCGTTCATTTGTTCGTTTAGTCATTCATTCATTCATTATTAATTCATGCATGCATTCATAAATTTATTCATTAATTCATTCATACATTCATTCATCTATTCATACATTCATTCGTTCCTTCGTTAATTCATTATATATATCTAACTGAAAGTGCAGTGAAAAACTAATAGCAAATGGTTTTATTTCAAATCGCGTCAAATTCCAATCAATTATAATAATAATTATTATTGATTAATTAATTAATTAATTATTTAAATATAGTTAACAATAAATTAGTTTTTTCAGAAATGTTTTAAAAAACAACTCATCAGATGTCACTTTCTAAGAGATATTTGCTGAGATACTAAGTAAAACGCCAACAACAACTTATTGCTATTACTATTATTATTGTTGTTGCTATTATTATTATTGTTATTATTATTATTTAAATGGGCTATCGAAATTTTTTCTAGTTAATGGTCTTATTGATGTTGTTTTGTTGTTGTTGTTATAGCTGTTGAAATTAATGTAATTGCTGTTATAAAACATTTGTAAATTCGATTCAAATTTTCTTTTATTGTTGTTGTTGTTGACAGCAACAAAATCATTAATGCATTTTGTCGTAAATGATGTCGTTGTTGAAGTCGTTGCCGTAGATGTTGTTCGTTGCGATGAAGACGACGACGACGACGATGAAGACGAAACGTTGTTATCTTGGTGCGGCATGTGTTTGCTGTTGTGTTGTTGTTGTTGTTGTTGTTGCTGCTGCTGCTGTTGTTGTTGATGATGACGAAATTGATACCGACAAAACTTATCCAGCGTGACGTCATCACCACCATCTGCGTCAGCACCATCAACCTCTTTTATCTTCCTTCTCATTATCATTTTATCGTTATTGTTGTTATAACTTTCAACATCATCCTCACCGTCATCATCGTCGTCGTCGTCGTCATCTTTTTCATCCCCCTCCCCCCAATCGCGTTTTCGGATTTTCAATTTGATTCCGCCATTACTAACCGATCCATCATTCATTCTTTTTGCGCTACTTCTTTTCTTTCCATCATTTTCTTCGCCATCTTCATCCTCGTCAGATTTACTATTTCCGGTGCAGTTTTTATTTCTTAAAATCCGACTGACACTACTAACGCTGGGCACATTATATTTATCGCAAACACCATCAGCCACCAATCTTTCGCGAATTTCCCACGCAAAAATACTCGGCTCGACCGATTTATACCGACGAATAGCTCGAACAACCTTTTCGGTAGTGACTCGCGGTTTGCTTCCGCCGATCGCACCCGGAAGTACACTACCGGTTTCGTGGTATCGAGCCAAGATTTTACTGACACATCCGTGACTGACTTTCAACTGTCGGCTGATGTCGCACGGTCGAACCCCGGATCGACTCAGTTCGACTATTCGCAGTCGGATCGAAGTCGGTAACGGTCGACCGTTTACGAATGTTCCGCCGAGTTGATTGACTTCGCCACCGCCACCGATGGCGTAGTGGCTGTGGTGGTAGTTGTGGTGGGGGTGGTGTGGTTGGAGGTGATTGAAGAAGTTGTTGGGGTTGTTGTAGTGGTGGTGGTGGTCGTTGGTGGTGGTGAAGTAGTTGGAAGTGGCGTTCGTGAGATCTGAATATGAGAAAGGTGTCGTTGTTGCATCGTTGTTGTTGATGATGTTGTTGGTGGACGGAGGGTAAGCAAAAAAGTTGAAATGGTTGTAGTTGGTGTTGAAGATGTTGTGATAATTGTTGTTGTTGTTGTTGTGGCTGCTGAAAAGTTCGTCGTTGCTTTTGTTGCTGTTGTTGGAGTTGCTCTCGCAATCATTGTTAGTGTTGTTGTTGCTGCTGCTGTGCTGAAATGTTGAAACTTTAGATTTTGTTGCTTTGTAGTTGTCTACAACCTTCCTAACATCAACAACAACATCTTCGTCGTCGTCGTTGTTGTTGTTGTTGTCATTGTGACTGTTCTGACCGTCAATTTTTACACTATTTTCTTTAAATATGTCGTCGGTTTTGTTGATATTGTCGTTGATGTTGTTGTTGATGTTGATGTCACTGATGCTGTTGATGTTGTAGTAGTTGTTGTAGTTGTTGTTGTATATTAAATTGTTGTAAAAGAACGGCGGAAAAAACAACGACGGTCTGCTTGCGTAGTAGCTAAATAATCGGCTGCAACTGTTACCTTCGTTGTTGTCATAATAGTTGTTGTTGTAATGATAATAATAATCGTCAACATTGTTGTTGTTGCTGTTGTGTTGATTATTATTATACTGGTGATGATGATAGTAGTTGTTATTGTTGTTGTTGTTACTGCTGCAAATAT